ACGGGTTGACGAAGTGGGGGTTTTGCTACTGCGGCCTTTCTTATGGCGTGTTGAGTAGACAGAGTTGCCAGCGATCCGGCCATATTTGGCCGTGTTGGATCCGACCTCTTACACCCATTCGAACTTTAAGCTTCAGGCTGTTGAAAGACTTCAAGCTTCTTCAGCTCGATTTTATAGGAATGTGTAGCCACAAAAGTCCTTTTCTTGACTTTTGAATCTTTGTACATTGGAGAAGGTGATGTCTTTAGCTTTTGAAAGATCACCTGCATAGACTTTGGAAAAGAAATTTTTGTATTCTTTAGCACAAACTAACATTTGAATTGATAATTTTAAATATTTATTCGATGATCTCGATATGCAGCGCGATGTCGGAATTTTTGTCTGAAATACAGACAAGGACTTGGAGCAGAATGGGACTAGTGGACTTGATTCAATTGATTTAAATGAACTTGAACCCAAATGAATTCAATTCTAAATGAATATGAACTTGGACTCTCATTTGAACATGAACAAGTATTCATTTTGAGCTCGAACGAGCTCAATGGACAACATGGGACATGCACTTGAACAAGGAGCTCACAGTTGAACTTACAAATGAACTACAACAAAGACTTGAACTCTACAAGATAGCATTAGACTATTTGAAATTGAATGAGATAACAATCAACATAATTCTAAATTCAAACAGTAATCAAATGTCAAATAAGTGAGCATGAAGCAATAATCAATGTTAAGTGGTAACTTTGATTACTAAAGTCAAATTGTGAATGTGTGAACAATGAAGCTCATGTTAGATAAACTCCAATGTTGATGATATACACTCCAATGGCAAGTTAAAGTAAATAAACATTGCAAAGCAAGGAAGAACAATGATGACTGGTTGTAATACTTGTGTCAATTGCATAAGTAAATATACAAAGTCCTTTGAAGATGATGTGTATTGCCACCTTATAGACATGTATATAAGGAGGGTGAAGTAAGTGCAATAATGTGTTTGTGAATAATGTATGAAAGATACAATGACATACCTACAAGCAAACACATTAAACGATAAGGCACACAACGACTCCCTCTACATGCAAAGGAGCTTCTAATGAAAATACTAGTGAATATAGTAGATCGTTAATCGACTTACATACAAATGATGACGGGGATACGATGCACTTATGATGAATCTCCTGTGCATATAGATATTCATGCGATATGAATATTTACAAGGACAATGATCTACAACACACGAAAACTCCTACAAATTGCATAAGTAATAACAATAAGTGTGGCGCATTTTTGTTCACTGCAAATGTAAGAGTGCATATAACGTCCCTATAAATATATAGCGTCATGCCACAAATAATACGACATGTTCATGAGTAAAGTATGAAGGACGTTCAACAGATGAACCGGTTATCTTGCAACATCTCTATAATCAATAACAAAACACAAGCAAGCATATTCAGTCCTGCAAGCAATGAGATAGGAGGGAACGTACAATTTGACCCCGGAGAAATATACAAGCAATAATTTATACAAGCATTAAAGGACATGTAAGTAGATGTGGTAGTTCACCAATCAATAATACATAAGGAAGTCAAGAACGTATGCGACCACCTAAAAATTTTGTGTAGTAGAAGATAATGGATGCTACATTATCCTCGTAGTCAACTCCTATACAATGTCAATCAAATATGTTGATCATTTACAAGTAGAGATGAATGATGTGGTAAATGCAAAATCCTGCGAACTGCTGTGAGATTTGTTATAAGTCAAATATATCGTCTGCAGGCAAAATGCAAGAAGACCACAACAAGTACAAGCACCTATGAGTTAAAGCAGTAGATTAGTTTGTGTATTACAATCTACCTGTTTAAATCGTACAAATAGTGCACGACAGTCTACCTGAACGAAGCAGCGAATAATTCTATCCAGAAGCTGCTACGTCACGCCACCGGATCTGCAACACTCATACGAGCAAACAGAAGGCGTCCACAACTACAACACACCACCGGATCTGTAACATCCGTACAAGCAGACAGAAGACGTCTATGAATACTTTCGAAGTACCCCTGCACGTGCACCATAGCTTGTATATACATAGGTACACCAAAAGGGGTAAAAATAATCTTAAAACCCGCAAGGGTCCCGGCGAGCATATTATTGGTACACACGCGACGTCTAGGGATGCTGTGCGGGTTATTAAATTTGAATCTGATCCTCCTAAGCAGATAAAAGGAGTGGATGGGGTTCAATTATAAAATGCCCCCAAACAGCCGCATGTGCCCCGGCGAGCGTGTTATTAGTACACACATGACGTGTAAGGATGCTGCGCGGGCTGACAAGTGAATTCAAGTTCGAAACCGATCCTTCTATACGGGTCAATAGAAGTCGATAGGATTCGAACCAACAAACAAATATACGGTTGTGGCGACCGTCTAATTTGTCTTAATACATTCATATTAGGCCTTCAAAACCTATAACAATGAAAATTCACTATCAAGGGGCATAAAGCCTAAGAAATCCAATCTTCTATCGATAATTCGATAGAGCCGACAAGATTCAATCAATAAAAGAGAAATGACCCCAAACACCTCGATGATGGCCGTGTTGAATGAAAATCTCAACCGGAGGGATCCATTCCAAATAATTTCCAATGCCATTCCAAATATCCATTCAAAATCCAAAACCCACAAAAATCCAGAAAATTCTCAAAAAATCTCAAAAACTCAAAATATTTAAAAATGAAACTATCAATCTCAACGCTTAAAGCAAAGCCCATCCACCCTCCGCAACAGTCTGCCAGGGTGGATAAATTCAAATTTACTTCAGCTCACAAAGAGCCAAATGCTAGTCGAAAATATCACTAAGATCCATTCTCAAACAATCTCCTGCTAGTAAGGACGTGGTACGTGTCCTCTGACCGGCAGTTTGCCGCCAAATTGTACCGCAGGATAAACGGTTATGACCCGGGGCCCTCTGAACCGAGTGGTTTTGATACCTAAATTCAAACTCAATTTCCAAATCCAAATCCATGTTGCTACTATATGCCAGATAACATGTATACTCTACGTATCTGATTGACGACTAGCCTTAATCGAAAGTTCTCTCTTGTGATTAGGAGGGGTAATTAACTATAGGGGCTTGCGCCTATAGGAAACCAGAACTCAGATTATAAAGTCCTTACAAAATGAGTGCGAAATCTCTGGGTAATGTCTTATCTACAAACCCATCCGCCTTCCAAAATTTACCCCGGAACTTATCAGTTAAAACTCACTCACCGAATAAAAAGAAAAAACAGAAACGCGCGGCGGGGAGGCCGAGGCCAAATTTTCGGAGCCCACAAATACATGTAAAATCAATGTAGTTGACTTTTCCTGAGATAAAATGCAGTGTAAAGCTCAAAGATAGTGATGATCGGTGGTGGTGGTGGCCAACGATAGGGGCGGTGATGGTGGGGATGGGTGGCAGTCGATGGCTAATGGCTGATGGCTGTGGTAAATTAATGCGGTGGCAACATAAGTGGGCTGGCACGACAAAGGAGGGCCTGGTAGTAATGGTAGCGGTCGGCAACGGCCAACAGTGGTGGATGGTGGCGATGGTGACTGTGGAAATGGGTGTCGACGGTGATTTTGGCAGCGATGGCACAAGACAATGTCAGCAGCCGACAATGATGGTGGTTAAGATGACAGGCAGGGTGGCGAAAACTGCCTGCGGCGATGGGTGGCGCCGATGATTGGCGATGGTGATTCATTATAGGACATATAACTAAAATCATTGCAATCATGTCCTAACCATGAATATTAGTTATAGGAACAAACCCTCCACGTCAAACATGCATCACACAAACCTAACAACATCCTATTTATTAAAATATGCCTAGGTGAGTCTAGTGGCATTCCTAGCTCAAATTGATTATAAGACCAGTCATCCAACTTCATAATTTTTTGCTGTTAAGATTGTAAGACCTTTTTTATTTTTTATTATTTTTTTAATTTAAAAAAAAAATACTTATCACCAATAGTGATAGATATGGGTAAGAACCTCAACCACTAAGATTTTGATTCCTATGACCTTGATAACCCTAACCTTGGTATGAAGATCAATTGGATCCGATATTAACTCTAGAGCATGCTAATGGGGATCTACCAATAAACCCCGACCATTAAAAGAGGAAGTAATGTTTATTCCATTGATAAATATGGGGCTGGATATCATTCAACCCAATTCTTTTAGAATAATTGTTGGTATTGAAATAACATCCAAACCCCTACCATTACAGATGGAAGAAATAAAGAAAGAGATCTATTAGTAATGGAACCTCTATGAAATGTTAACTTTGGCCAAGCCAAAACTATCATGATGGAATTGGGGGGAAAGCGAAATTAGCACCAGAGGACATCAATCACTAGCACTGATAAAAGAAGGTTGAGCCTTGCATGAAAGTTGTTGATGAAGAAATAGAGTTCCTCTAGCATGAAGGAGTAAGGGAGCTTGCCTTTGCATGGAATTCATAAGGTAAAGTATCTATGGACCTCACGCTCATTGAATATCGTCTTTAAAACATCCTCTATAAGAGTTGCTTCTTGAATCTTCTCCTTTAGAAAGACCACTTTAAATAAGAAATTTTTGACCAGAGCAAAAATTTTCCCATCTTTAAGAAGAAATGAGGAAAGCAAGAGTTGAACAAAATAGAATGTATGTTATAAGAAGAAAAGATCTCAAATCAAGGTAAAGAGAATGGAGAGTCAGAAAACTCCTTTGACAGGAACTAGAGGTACAATTCTATCGCTATTTACCAAATATTGGCATTATAGAAAAGACCTAGGAAAACAAATGTAGAAAAGAATTAAGGCAATCACAAGCTCTGGCATTCCATTAGAGCACATGTCTGCATTAAGAAAGTTGTCTCTACACTATCATTTTCTTATAAAATGAAAACAAAGTATAATCAAATTAAAACTGAATAAAAAATGATAAAAAACATTAAACATGGATTTAGCTTTTACCCAATGGCTTCATCTCTCTTCAACTGTGACTTGCGAGCCTTGCGAACATCAGTTTCATTGGAATTCTTTGCAACTGCTGGCTCATAAACCCGGAATCTCCTCTTCGGTGCACCACAAACTACAGAAATGAAGCGGTAACACTCAGTTTAATCTGGAAAACATTGAAATAGTCCAAAAAAATTCTCCATGATGGACCAGAGAACAATCAATACAATTACGTATCCCAAAAAGGAAGAAAGCGCCTTATTTCATAAGAACTAAAAAAACTCTGCTTCAAATTGGAGATTTTATTATTTACCTGGACAGAAGTACTTGTCCGGCAACTTCTCAAAGGGGGTGCTCTCATTGTAAATATAACTGCAGCCGAGGAATCAGAAGCAAGAAGAACCAAGTTAATAAGCACACATTGGACGGAAAATGAAGAGTTGAGCTATGGATAAGAAGCAGTGGACCCGCAATCTCTACAAATGTAAGCTTGCTTGGAGGTCACACGCATGGAGAATCTGGGAGCAGCGGTGCCGGTAGATCGAAAAGGAGAGAGAAAGAGCTTCACAGACGGAGATAGGTAGGAGGACCGCAGCGCATAAGGATCTAGAGGCCGACGGAGACCGATCGTGCCAGACTGCGTGGGCAAGAGAATTGCCGGAGTGACCAAGGCTGAAGCGACGGTTGAAGGCCGCAGGGCTGCTGGGGCAGTAGACTGAAGAGCCATGGAGGCCTTGAATCGAAGTTTGCCAATACTCTGTTGGGAATCTGATTTAAGCTTTCTGGTTGGGTGGGATTGTGGAAAATGCGAGAAGATAAGAGAAGAGGACAAGAATGGGAGCTTGATTCGGTGAGCATATTGGCTCTGGTCTCTTTAAGGTTTGGGGGAGGGAGACGCTGAAGCGTGGCTGCCCTTTCAGTCATCCTCCCTGTGGCCTTATCTTGTCGATTTACAATTTAGTCCCTCAAAATTGTTTAATTATACAAAGGATAACACTTTTTTTTATTATTAGAGTGAATTTATTTATTTGTTGTACAAAAGTTTGTGAAAATCTGATCGTATGACATAATAAATGTTACGATTATTTAAATAAAAAGTAAATATTATAATAATTATATAATGATTGATAAAAAATAAATTTAGGTTATATATAAACTTATAAATTTAATATAAATTATTACTAATTTATGTTAAATTTAATATAAATTATTGTCAACGGCCAAACTTTTCGTGAGGGGATGCTTATACGACACAGGAGGGAAAAAAGAAGAAGAAAAAATTCGTTCTTTCTCGTTCTATGTCCTTCCCCGACGGCATGCGAAACTCCAAAGCCAACACCATTTTGGCATTTCCGTGCTGCTCGTTCGCGAAGCAAGAAAGCAACAAGTAATTTCCTGGATCCTACAGGCCTGCTCATTCATGAAGTGAAAAGGACCGAACATTACCTTCTTCAGTCATTTAGCCGTTTAGGTTTGTTTCAGATTCTGAAATTTATTTGAAAAAACATGTTGCTTTCTCAAGTTTTTAAAATTTCTTTCCCAATTCTAAACTCCTTCTGTCGTTTAACCGTTTAGGTTTGTTTCAGATTCAGATTTTTTTTCTTTGAAAAAATATGTTGCTTTCTCAAGTTTTTTGAGAAAACATGTTACTTGCTCAAACTTATACTGTTAATGCGGTATGTAGCAGTGAATACTGAAGACAACTTGCCATTAATGTTTTGGAATGTTGCTATGATAATAACTGATAGAGTAACTTTCAAAATGTGTTTATTTTCTCTTGCTGCTATTATATTTTGTAGAGTATGAATACAAGAAGCTTAAACAATCTATTGTTGAAGGAGATAATCTCAAAAAATGAAGCGAGAATATTTTTTTTATTGTTGTTGGTTCGAAGTACTTGAATTTGAGTTTAGAATTGGGTTTTTCTAAAGGTCTGAATTTCTGAAAATTGTAACTGATTTTGGGCTTGTCTAAACAAATTCTAGTGGTTCATTCACTCTAGTTACTTGAATTTTCTTTCCAGTTAGATTATGATGTTATCTAAGTTTTGAATTGTAATCTAATTAATTGTGCTTTCATTCACTCTAGTTACTTGAATTTTCTTTGGGGAAATCATCTATAGTACTTAAAAGTTGGAGACTTTAGGTGGTAGTGCAATTCATCACTACGGCAGATTGAGGTATGCATTGTGTAACGTTTCATTTTTTGTAACTATTTAAATTGCTTACTTTTCTACATTGCTTAGTTTTCTACCTTGTTGTTTTTTTTTTATTAAAGTTAAACTAGTGGTCCACTTTCTATTGGAAATATCTTAAATTGAATGTGAAAGATATATGTAGACTGCAAAATTTTTTATGTATTTGTATTTTTTTTAAATGATGCATTTGATATTATTTGAGGATTTATGGATTTTAACTTGTGTATGTAATTTTAATTAGTAAATTAAATTAGAATGGAAGCACATAGTAATCAAACTTCAGCTTCAACTTATATTGTGTGGGAGAAAGTGGACATTGCTTGAAATCATTTTGATGAATTTAAAGAAGCTGGTGGGAAGAAACAGTTTAAATGTTTACATTGTGGTATTTCATACAAGGGAGGAGGAATTAATAGAATGAAACAATATTTAGCAGATGTAAAGGGGAATATAGCTGTTTGCAAGAGGGTTCCACACGATGTTAGAAATCAAATGCAGAAAACTTGAAGGAAATTTTATGAAAAAACAATAATAAGCACAGGAAGAGTGGGACAGTGCACCATTTCCTGTGGATGATGCTATTGATGAAGAGAGAGATTCTTGCTCGCTACCAAAAACACAATCTTCTCAAGCACATGTTTCAGAACTAAGTAAAGGAAAAAGAAAAGCTTCTGATATGGATATCTTCTTTGCTCCTAGAACTACACGAGGTTCCCAAACTTCAATTAAGAGTGCTTTAGCATCTAAGGAAGTAGTGCACCGTGCAGATATAACATTAGCAAGGTGGTTTTTTTTATTGTTATATTTCTTTTAATGATCTTACTTCAGTATATGCACAGAAAGCTGTTGATGCTATTGCTGCAATTGGTCATGGTTACAAGCTCCCTAGTTATCATAACATGAGAGTAAACTTACTTAGAGACTACAAGGAAGAATGTAGGCTACTCATTGATAGTTATAGACAAACTTGGAAGGAAACATGTTATACACTTATGACAGATGGATGGACTGATAATAGGAGCAGAACTTTAATCAATTTTTTGATATATTGTCCACATGGTGTAGCTTTTTTAAAATCAGTGGATGCTTCATACATCACAAAGGATGCTACCACTTTGTGCTCTTTATTTACTGAGATTGTTGAGTGAGTTGGGCTAGAGAGTGTTGTTCAAATAGTTATTGATAATGCTGCTAATTACAAAAAGGCAAGTCAAATATTACTCTTTCTGATATATCGTATAAAAAGAAATCTTGATTGAATGAAAGATTCAATAATTATGCCGCACATTGTATTTATTTAATTTTGAAAGATATTGACAGTATGCCTCTCATAGAGGACCAAGCAAAAAAAGCATCAAAGTTGACCATTTTTTGTTATAATAATTATATATTCATACTTGCATGGCTTAGGAAAATATCAGGTTGGAAGGAGATCGTACGTCTTGGAGCAACCCATTTTGCAACAACCTTTATAACTTTGAAAAATGTGCATGAGCATCATCAAGCAAGTTCTTTGTGGATTCAAAGATATCCAAAACTTCCAAGGGAAATGAAGTAGCTTCAATTATTTTGGACTTGAAGTTTTGGGATAATTGTCTAATTATTTTGAAGATTTCAGGCCTTTTGATTAGATTGTTGCGTATTGTTGACTCTAATGAAAAATCATCTATTGGATATCTATATGATGACATATACATAACAAGAAAGACAATTAAAGCTATGTATAAAAATATAAAAAGATAATATAAGTCTTTTACTACTATAATAAAAAGATGAGATACTCAATCAAGGCAAGGCATCCATGCAGCAACATATTTTCTCAATCATCATTTCTAGTATAATAGAGAATTATTGTCAAAAGCCAGAAATTTAATAAGGTTTAGTTGAATTAATTAGAAAGAAATACATTTGCTTTAAGCCCACCGTTGCAATGAATGAAGCCAAATTATTTCGTGATGGCTTAGAAAGCATTGGAAAACCAATTGCACTGACAATGACGAAAGAAATGCAACTTTGTAATTCTCTTTTTTACTTTCAACATATGTCTATACTTATACAAATATGCTTATTCACTAAACTCTCAAACTTGATAATATATAGATGAGTGGTGGAAGATGTTTGGATCAAGTGCTCCAAACTGCAGAAAATTGCTATAAGAATTCTCAGCCAAGCATCATCTTCATCAGGATGCGAAAGAAATTGGAGTCTATTTTTAATAGATTCACTCAAAGAGACAGAATTATTTGGAGCATCAAATCTTGTATATGTTCGATATAATCTGAATTTAAAGAATATGTATGAGCTTGCATTAAATTAATATTTATGTACAAGTATCAATTTAAGTAGTATGTATAATCTTAACATAAAATTATTTCTTCATTTTGTAGGTTTTAATTTAATTAAAAAAAGATAATATGACCCTCTAGACTACACTTGTGTTGAAATGGATGATTTTTGGATACTTGAAGATGAAACAACTCTAGAACTTGACTTACATGATTTGGAAAATGAGATAGACAAAGAGGATGCAATACTAGTTGTTGAAGAACAAAATATATCATTTAATCAACAAGGACATTGTAAGTTGATAATGAAATTTGAGTATATTATTTAATTGAAAGTAAAAATAATATCTTATTTTATATTTCTTATTTGTTGGTGAAGGGGATTTAGAGAATGAAGGAGATGTATGCGACATAATCGAATGCATTTGAGTTTGAACATTTTGGTGAAACGAGATCTGGAGACTCAATTTATATAGATAGATTTGATTATGCTAATTTATGAGATCTTTGAAACTATTGAACTGAGAAAGTGAAACTTTGATTTTAATTATGAATATGTTTTTTTTTTTTTTGTTATCAGTTGGTATAAAATAATTTTGCATCTTTCTATGATTTGTTGTGTCTTCAAGTGAAAAATATTGTTATGTTTTTCTTATTTACTTTATGTAATATTTACTTTGTATGCTTTATATTATAATTTTGTTCAATTTTTGGTATATTTTATAAATAATTGTGTTATTATTATAATATTTAATATAATAAATATTTATTACGTCATCCGGTTCGACCCCGGTCGAACCATCGAACCGCTAAGCTTTTCTTCTTCCGGTTCATTGACCGGTCTGATTTTCAAAGCCTTGGTCTATCTAGCATTTGGCTCAAGTCCTTAACTCTCATCACGACTAAACATTTTTATTAAATAAAAAAATAAAGTGGATTGATTCTTTTTTGGATCTGAGGTATGCCATTTTTTTGCTTGCTTGTCTCAAACTTTATAATTTTCATCAATTTTTGCTATATATTTATAAATAGTTGTGTCATTATTATAATATTTAAATATAATAAATATTTATTACGTCATCCGGTTCGACCCCGGTTCGACCCCGGTCGAACCATCAAACCTCTAACCCCTCCTTCTTCCGGTTCATTGACCGGTCCGGTTTTAAAAGCCTTG